CCACAAAGCCACGCCAGGTCTTTAAACTACTTTTCAAATAGACACTATAGTCTCCGTGAAACTTCAATCATTGTTTCAGTACTGGCTGTCTAGTTTGATGAACTTTACATATTTACTACTATGATACAGCCATTATATCGCGTTAATGTTAATTCTCGTTAGGTGTCATATAGAGAAGTTGACTTATGTAGCATTGTCCAGGGCCACCATCCTCGCAAGCACCAGCGCTTCATATCAGCTTATAACTTCTGTTGTCGCTAATATTCATTTCCCTGTTGGCACAGTTGCGCAAGTGCAAGCAACTAGTTATATAAAGATCTGCGACTTTTCAACATACGACGGTGCGTGCGACATTTGTACATATATTTAGCGTTAATTCATGACCTGTCGCTGAATAAAAATTTACAAGACGCTCACCTTCCCTACGCACGCTTCGCATAACGTCGATTCCCAAGGTATACGTGGAATCGGCCGTATTTTTTTTTTGAAATATCATTATTAATTGTTGAGGTTCAAAACGTTCCACGACCACCGTAAGATGAGAAATTTTGTAGCAAACCTTGTTTTATTCAACTTATGAACATGAATGATTGTGACGCACAGTATTAGCAAAGACATACAAAAGCGTCACAGCTAACAATTATATAGCATCAGGAAATGAAGGTCCTGAAAGCACCATATCATTATGAGGGACGCCGTAGTGGAGGGCTCCGGAAATTTTCACCATCTGGTGCTTCTTAACGTGCACTGACTTCGCACAGTACGCTGTCTCAAGCGTTTTCGCCTCCTTCGAAAATGCGGCCGCCGGGTACGCGATTCGATCCCGCGACCTGCATGCGCGTCAGAAGGGTAGCACCATAACGACTAGATTGCGGTTGGTTTTTTAAAATCCACATTACATATATACACGTATCAGGAGGATGCTCTTGCGTGTAATTTGCTTGTTTATTTGTTCTCAATTATCAGCTTTGCAGGCTTCTTTGCGCATGATTGCACAGAAGGCAATGTATTTGGGGTTTTTCTGCAACCAAAGAGTTTCCAATGAGTTTTCTGCAACAGTGGTTTTTCTGAATGTGCTTGGCTCACGGAGCGCCCTTCGCGTTGTATACTTGCCCAACATTTTATTCCCAGGAATGAAGCACAGAAGGGTGCCGTAGACACCACCTCGACTGGAATTAAAATGCTAAGCTCGTACGACAAAACGCAAACTGTGCTTTATTCATCATACAATTCATTCCTTGTGTAAAAATCGGTGACGTTTTAGTTGTATCATTTGAAATTTTGTTCCAATACATCATGCAAATAAGCATTCAAGGCTCAAATCGAGTGCACCTACCACCAGAAATGAAGGTTACGTTCCCCGTTGAAGAAAAAAGCCTTCCGTAGAGTCGGGAAAGTTTGCACATTCACCAGGTATTCCGCACTTTGTGGAATAATTGTGGCGTAGATGTGCCCTCCCCCCCCCCCCCCAATAAAAAAGGAAGACTATAGGAGAACCGTTATGGTCAGGACAGTTTTCTGTTGTTTAGAGCATGCGAAAGCGATGTAATAAAAGCACTGCTGCAAATTCTGGTTGGCAGTTTGATGTAACCAAGGAGCGGGGCAGCTAGAGGCGGACACCTAGGCGTCGGAGGAGGAGGGTTCTTGCGAGGCTTCTTGCTCACACTAAGGACAACACGATTTATTTCCATATTTACAATTATTGGCAGACTAGAGGAGCAGACGCGCCTTTACATGAGCAGCGCCATGAGCCATGACCGGCCGTAATGAAGGCCAGAGAGAGAGAGTGCCGACCGCACACGCGACGCGCTTTTTATACCCCTCGTCCATGCACGCGCGCTTGTCCGACGGCAACTGCGCGTCTCAGCGACGCCGATGCGCGTTCGATGTGGCACACACGAACGCCTCTTGCGTTGCTGCAGGACGCGGACTGCGTTAGCAGGGCGCACCGATGACTGCCTCTTGCAGGGCAATGTGCTTGCTCTGCCAGTCATAACACCTCGTCCACCGCCCGAAGAGGTCACGTGAGGGCTGCAGTACCGCTGCTCCCTGAAGTGACCCTTGTACGTGGTCCGATGCGATTGTCCGTGCGCGTGCCAACGGTTGTTGACCGCAACACACAGCCACACACCACACAGCAGGTCACACAACAAGCGCACTTCTGCGTCGCTACAATCCACAGTACACCAACGCCATCTTGGTACCAGCAGACCACTCAACAGCTGCCAAGACCCCGTCATCACTGACTGGTTGTTCCCTGGTCAAGGTTGGAACACCGTGGTTGGAACGCAGCGCTGAAGACGTCCACCGTCCGCAAAGCATAGTTCATTCTGGGCTAGTGGCTCTAGCTGGGCTTCTTCTCTGCCTGGTTTTAGCGGGGGAGGAACACACAAACCGGGCACCGACACTGAGAGCGCTCCACCCTCCAGAGATCCAACAGGTGTAAGCTACTATAAGGTTTTCTGTTTCAACAATTGTTTTGCAACAGAAGCCTACACTATGGGGGTGACCAGTTAACGCTCAAGTGAATGCGTCCCAAACCAAGCGAGGAAAACCTTTCACATGCTCAACAGACGTTGCACCGAAAGCCTCTTTGAAGCGCGTTCGTTCAGACGCGGTTCTTAAAAATCACGTTACACCAACGGGACGCCTCCCGGAATTTCTCTCCACGTTGCAGAAAAGACAGGAGTTGGACCAAAAGATTTCTCTCCGCGAGCATGGAAGAAGGAGCGTCTGAATGAGCCCCGCCTGCATCCTAATGCCTTCATTTGGCTCAAAGTCTTGCCGACTAGTTAATCTTGAAGAAGGGCCCTCTGTAACCACTGAAGCCTCCGAAAATGTCTCAGCCTTCTCGCCGCTGAAGAAGCACTGCACTGGCAATTGGTTTCTTCCTTTCTCTTTTCCTCCAGTTTTAGCTTTATATGCTACACCACTGACAGTTGCAGTTTGGCTTTCCTGCATATCCACGTCGCTATCTACTGAAGATAGCACCTCCAACTGTGTGCTTTCTGGTTCGACGAGTGCGGTTGCACACTCTTCCTGCTCAGTCGAAGATACCACATCTGTCCCAAGCTGAGAAACACATTCCTTCACGATCGAGTCATCTTGACAATCTGTCACGCTTGGGACACCTGTCATCTCCGACTGGCAACGGACGCCGCACTCACCAGCTAGCTCAGCCATACCTTCTAACTTTATCGTGTCTGGTCTCTCTTGAATCTTTTTGTTAACTGTGGTCTGACCATCGGCATGTTTCACCAGGAGCTAGACTGCGAAGCTCAAGCCGGAATCGCTCCATTTCACTTTCATGAGCAGCAGCTTCATCTTTCCGCCTGGCGGTCTCTCTCTCAAGCGCAAGCCGCTTTAGTTCTCCTCATCGATGCCAAAATCCTCAATCGTCTGTATTAAATGCGGCTTCCTGAGTGTCCTCGCCACGTCAATACACAGCTCCTCCACAAAAGCACTAACTCTGGTTTCTTTAAGTTGTTCAAATCCATGGTACCTAGTGCAGACTTCCGTTGCTCAAGCTGCTGTGAAGGTACCTCAATAAACACTGCCTTCACAAAGAAGCAACCGATCTACCCCTTCGGAAAGACATCTCCATCTAACTAAAACACCTGGTAGAATCTCTACGGAACGTGAGCACTCACCAGTATCGGTACCAGGAAAGAACACCGCCCATTCCAACCGTATCCCACCGCTGTCAAGCAGTTGATTAGACCAAGGAGCGGGCTACAGGCAGTCACCCAGGCACCGTAGAAGGAGAACCCTTGCGAGGCTTCTTGATGACACAAAAACACAATTTATTTACATAATTACAGGAGTTCAATAGACTAGGCGTCGAGAAGCGCCATTGTATGGCATGACAGGCCATGTAATGAGCTATCTTTAGTAGATAGCGACGTTGATATGCAGGAAAGCCAAACTGCAACTGTCAGCTGTGTAGCATACAAAAGCAATAGCACTGGAGGAAAAGAGAAAGGAAGAAACCTATTGGCAGTGCAGTGCTTCTTCAGCGGCGAGAAGGCTGAGACGATGCATTCAAGGCTCAAATAGAGTGCACCTATTACCAGAAATGATGATTACGTTCCGCGTTGAAGAAAAGAACCTCCCGTAGAACCGGAAAAGTTTGCACATTCACCAGGTATTCCGCACTCTGTGGAATAATTGTGGCGTAGATGCGAAGCCCCTCCCCCCCCCCCAAAAAAAAAAGAAAGGCTAGGGGAACAGTTACGGTCAAGACAGGTTTCTGTTGTTTAGAGCATATGAAAGCGATGTAATAATATCACTGATGCAAATTGTGATCGACAGTGGTGCAATGGGCTGTGATACTGCAGACATGAAGATGAAAACTATATCATCTCTTTGTTTATTTTGAAAATTGTTCTTCGCCTGAAAGGGACAGTATATAGTTTTGAGCACTATACCGACTTTGTGTGGGTACGTAACTGCACTACTATATATGTGTCCAGTACAGCTATCTCGGCACCATCGCAAGAGGTCTATATGACTTCTGTCAAATGTTCTGATCACGCCCCTGTATAATATCTGCTTGGACTTCGTGTCTGTCGTATAATATATGAATGGTCGTGCTTACGTGCGTCTATGCGCACGCAGGGCAACTATAGCCGAAAGTTGTAGAAGCTGCTGCAAGCGCGCTTCTGTACATCGCAGTAGAGGTCAGGGGCATTCACTGCAGCATTTCGGTATTAGTCTACTTACCTGTTGTCTAAACAAAATTAAAGCACGCGGGCTTCAGAGACAAACGAAGCGAGACCCTCCAGAGGGGGAGAGGACCTTTCAAAAGCGCCGGGGAGGGGCGTCCCTGTGCTCTCTCGTCAGCTGTCGCACGCGAGCTCCATTCCTCGCTTTATTATTAGTATTTTTTTTGTCACGGTGAAGCGAAGGTGCACTCCCGCAACAGGCACACTGTCACGCCGGCAATCCCAACCCACTAGCTGGCTAGTAAACGAACGTCCGTGACGTCACGCGTTTGTCTGCGAGCATATGCCTGCCGCCTGGCCACGGTCAGGCGTAAACACGACGGCGCGCAGGGGCTCGCAGTTCTCCGTCGTGCTGGGGCGACACAGGCTTCCCGGTTCGACTCATGCTCGCCGCTGGGAGCCCACTGTCACTCCGCCGTAGAAGAGCCGCCATGGCGCGACCAAAATGTGCTCCTAGGCGCAGCAGCGCATCCCGGCCACCCGAGCAGCCCGCGGTGAGTGGACCTCGACTCTTGCGCTGGCTGGTTGAGTGCGTGCGTGGTGTAGTATATACCGTCGTGCTTGCGTGCGTCCAGAATCTGTGCCATAGCCCACTTGCGTGCCCGAGCAGGCGGAAAGTGTGAAACCAAGGGCAAGCGGAAAGCTTCGTCCTTCATTTCGACGTTCCGCCTGTCAAAGGAAGCTGAATGGTGCGTATTCCGCGAACAGAGGTGAGCCATGCTTTGCCACTGGCCCGAAAAGCGCCAGTGAGAAATGAGCACTAGCAAAGCGCGCACCAATTTTGGAGAAACGCCATTGTCGTGGTGGTTCTACGCAAACTCAATTTGTTAAATACGATCGTTGTTACACGTATAACAGTGATAACGTTTTCAGTGACAGAATGTTACTTTAGAACAAACACTCTCTTGTTTAAACGGAGCTACTGCGATTACTCGTCGATAGTTCTATGCATTTACAAGGAATGAATGTTCCGCTGAGTTATTTCCTCCTGGCACTTAAATTTATGCTGACGGCACATCCAGCTAAAGGGGTCTCCTTACTCACTTCATAATTGCCAAGCTTTTCTTAACTTGAACCGCACTATTGGAATGTTTCTGTACGAAGAAAATATTTACTGAATGTTCAGCAGCCAAGAAGTCCTAGTTAAAATTTTGCATATCTAGGCTGTTGCACTCGCAAAGTAATAAAAAAAAGCTTATACCTTATGGTACTTTAAGCTCAAGATTTTTTATTTGACAGCCGCGTAGCACCTATCCTCTCACTGGACGCCCAACTGACAAGTTTCTCATCTAATTTGAATGGTACTACGTTATGCAGTTCCGTATGACGCGAATGAATATACTTTGTACATAAAAATGTTCTTGATATAGAAGAATGACAAGTACCACGACCCGGGTTTGTACTTTTACAAAGGAAGACAAAAAAAGACAATTAAAGCGTCCTTTGTCACAAAGTGCATGCCTTCGCAAAAATCACACTTGAATCTCAGCTGGTGGACAGGCCAGTCGACGTTTTCATTTTGAGCGTATCCGTCGATTTTCCAGCCCACCATGGCAGCGCTATGCGCAGACAGCTGTTGCAGTACACTGCTAGCTTTTTTTTCTTTTCCTTAATTTTTTGCGTGAGTGTGTGTCATTTTATTAAGAGACGGCTAATTGACCACTTGCTTTTTTTCCCTTCTGCTGTAAGTGAAAAAAAAATACGTAGAACAGTAGTAAAAGGGGAGGGGTGCAATATGCAGATGTTTTTCATCTCCATTCCCTCATAGCATCAGGCGTTGTACAATGTATAGTGCATAGCCACGCTTTGTATGAACGCAAGAATTTCGGTACTGAATAGCTTCAGGTTATAAACAACCATATATTATTCAGAGAAACGAAGAAACACTATTCAAATAAATAAATGATTGACGAATCGATGAATAAAAATAAAAAATGGCTACTTCTAAAGTACTTTTGCCAAGTTCCTGAATTTGGCTGATTGTAATGACGCGGCAACCACTTATACTCGTAATGTAATAAAGAAATATACATCCACACATCTCAATCTATAATTACGAAATGCCTCTTTTCACTATCATTCATGCATTATTTATCTTGTTAAGTGGGTACTTTATGGGCCATGTCACAATAGGATTCCCTCGGAAAGGGTGCCACGATGTACTACGTGGGGTTTTCGTCACAGTTTCTCAGGGTTGCCGACCCGTTTACCTCACCTTTCCTCCTTCCCAATTTTGAGAATTAAATATGCTTTGCTCTTACAAAAAATCACCGTGCGGAAGATTTTTGTTATTGTGGAGACCAGGTTTTCTGAGCAAACAATAAAAAATCATGAACGGTATTTACAAATTTTTCCTCCAAGAGTCTCTGCCTTCAATCGGCTGCATCAGATAATAATGTGTCTCCTATACGATTACATGTAAGCTGCCCTTGCAAGCAGGTATAGCATAAAAAATATTTTGCGCGTCGTGACTGAAGAAAATAAGGTACGACAGCGCGATTCTGCAGCGATGTCTAATAAGAACTTGTTGCTCGTTTAGTTGGTGAATACTTGTCGACGTAAATGACATACAACAAGACCTGTGGTCTCTGATGTGTTTGTCTTCTTCGGGAAATTGTAGCAACGTTTTCTGCTCGGTTCTGTGTGACTCTCAGAATCAACTGCTTATAGCCGTCTTATGTCATTGAGAACTCACCGATGTATGAATGTAACATCTCACAAACTGAGAGAAAAAAATACATGTAAAATCATTTCCGTTGTTTGAGCTGGATCCATGCCCACAACGCTCTAATCTCTTACGCTATTATTATTCATAACACCAGCCAATGCTGATATTCGACATAACATTATGGAAGTTTGATGACCGTTGACAAATACGAAGTAAGTTATTTTTTAATTGAGCCTCCCATAGCTAAAATTTTGCAGCTGTAAATTTCTCTAAGAAAGATTTTGAAGGAACGTCAAATCTTCCACAGGGCTTATAGCCTTATAAAGCAGGATCCATATAGTTGAAACTAGAGAGGAAAGGGTGAGATTAACTAGGAAAAAATAGGGACGTTAACCAGACTAGAAAAGTATGGTGTGCTACTTAACGCAAGGAAAAGTAAAAAAGAAAAAAAAACAAAGCAACAGCGGCGACAGAAAGCAGGCGTTTGAAGAAAAGAACAAAAAAAAACAGAATAGGTGGAATGGAAGAAACAGATATCTTGATTAATAGGACACTACTGCCGTGCCGTCTTGAGGACAGGAAGTTTTAGAAGCAGAAAAATCGACAATGCCGACCTAAACACTCCTCACACAGAAAGTTATCAAAGCAATATTAGAGTCGACTGCCTGCAGGCGTATAGCCATTTCATGCAAGCAAAAACAAAAAAGAGCACCATAATTGCTGTGGTTGCTTTATTTTTGCATCAAAATAAAGCACAGCGGTTCTCCACAACTCTCGCGTTTATACAGACGCAATAAGTAAGGCATATTGTTTCACAATATGCCTACGAGGCCGGATGTTTTGTCTCTCGTCATATGCAGAGACGCACGCGCCCTCATCTCCTTGTTTGCAAAATATTTTCCCTCTTTAATGAAGAAGCAATCCATGTGGTCTAGGCTAGAACAACGCACGAGAAATTGCAAACAGCACCGAAACCAATTAGTCGCTACCACTCGCGAAGCGTATACAGGTCGCACTCTCCGCAGAACTAAAGCCGGGTCGATGCCGCGTTCGCAATTTATAGTCGCCAGACTATTGCGCTCAGCGTTTGAGAGTAGTAAACAGTGCGCTCTGTGTAATAGGGAGTGTTCCAGCGCCCACAAAAATGATGCGCTGGGGACGGAGCCGAGAGCGACCATACAATCTTGGGTCGATCGGGTTCCCGTTTTTGTGGATCCTACCCATTCTCCCAACGACCCCTTGTCTTCGTGCTCCCCTTTCCTGCTTTCTGAAACCATCCGTAGCGTCACCAGTGCAACTCGACGAAGAAGTTGAAACTGCTGCGAAAAATTTATAGCCCCGGCATCTCTCCTGTGCCAGAACCCCACGCAGCGTCCCTCGTGTCTTCGGGACTGGATTTTCTCGAAGCGCTGGAGAAGAAAGCGCCGTACTCATAAGAGCCTGCTGCTAACAGCGCAGAGAACAACAGGCTGGAAATAAGCGGTAAAACGTGAGAGAAAAGTGAAAGGAATGTGCTTGCTATAGCAGCGCAAACTCTTCGGAGGTGGCACGTGACCAAATGAGATGAAGCCTCACACGCCCTCTCGCATCAGCACGAAAAGGGGGCCAACACGTTCGGCGTGCCTCGTTCACCTCCTGCAGAGTGCAGCCTCCGCGCCCGCGGGAGGTGCCTCTTGGCACGATGCCTGCAGTCGCATCGCAGCCTATTAGCCGAGATAGCGCGCGCGAAGCCATCTTCGCCTCTCCGAGCTCTTGTTAGCATAACAAATCACTGCAGCGAAGGTGAGAAGGGAAAAAAAAGAAGGGCTGCAAGCCTCATCGTCCCACTTTTCGCTACACATAAGCGCGCACCGTTTACAAAGACACACTTGCTTGTCCGCCCCCTCTCGACTATGATACCGTAATCATAGAAGACTGCCGTTCCTTCAGCGCGCGTTTTAACGCGTGATAAAGTCTCTGCACCTTGGGCGCAATACGTTAAGCAGGCTCTGATCGCGCGCTCACGCTAGCCCACGCTCACTACTGGCGTGTCGCGGCGAGCTTGAAAACAGCGCCCCCGTACACACGGCAACCGCTCTCGTATATACCGCGGTCAGTGACTCGAGAGATATTCAAAACATGGTGACAGCGTAACGACAAGCAGCGCACTTGCGGGCTTGCGTCGTTTCGGCGAGTGTACGCACCAAATAGGCAGTTGTTCCCATACGAGGCCCATTGTCTTTAAATGCGAAGCATTTCTTAGGTAACTTTGGCGACGTTGAGCGTATCCATCTATCTATCAGCCGCCAATGACATTTAGCTCTCCTGGCCGTTTCAATAATGCTATCGATACCAAAATTGGTATGACGAAGCATGATTGTATGATGAACATAAGTGACTAGTAATAACCTAAAGGTCATGATATGTCTATCTTGAATGTCACGATTTACACTTCGCGGTATTGTTGCTCTGGCGGTGGTTTCATTCCCATGACATATTGGAAAACTTATGTGGTACGGCATACCTGCAGGACGAACATAAGTGAGAGACCCTCAGATGAAAATCATGACATGCATGTCATGTAAGTCATGAGTACACGCCATGTTCATGGTGCGCTCGTGGTCGTTTCGCTAGCTTCACATATACCATATTTGGTGTTATGTGACGTGAATTACGTGACGTAAATGGACGACAAACGTAAATGACCCTTTCAAACAAGGTAATTGATTGATTGATTTGATTGATATGAGGGGCTTAACGTCCAAAAACCACCATAAGATTCTGAGAGACGCGGTATCGGAGTGCTCCGGAAATTTTGACCGCCTGGGGTTCTTTAAATCACACTAA